CAAATGAAAACAATGCAGTTCTGACAGTCAAAAAATCATCATATAAATTTTAGCTCGGCCCAGCAATGCGGAGAGTGAGTTTCAAGCCTTCTTAGCCTTGACAGTATCGGCCAACCCCGTGTATGCATTAAGAACGTTGACCATTACATAGATGTTTGTCAAAAGGAATCCTACTGAAGCCACAAACACCAGTTCCAAAGTTTGCCATCCTTGAAACTCATAAAGGTAGGCAAAAAAGAGCCATACCGCTTGGCTTGCAAACCACATCAGTATGAGACGTGCCGCTTCGTTCGTTGTCATCTGAAGGAACAGAGCTTCAAAAAATAGAGAATTTGATGTAATTTTACAATTTACCTTAATTCTAGCCACAATCAAGGGCAAAAATACGATGTACCACACAAAATACTGACTCGTACATACTTTATTGAAAGTAACAAAGGCAAAGGTGCTGATGAACCAGCAAAATGGCAGATCACGATAGTACCTAAACATTTATTCATATGGAAGTCGAATCCTACTGCGAACTTACTTGAATGCAAAGTAGACTACGAGATAAGCCTGAGGCAAAAATGCCAAGAAACCGATAATCTTCGAAAGAGTCACATTCTGGTCCACCAAAGCCAGAGGCTTAAAATCAAATATTTCTGCCCATTACATGCAGAGAAAAATGGATTTCTTACATAGAAATATGGCGAGAAATTGTGCTTGATATCTCTCCTTTTGATGTGATAAAGCAGAAATTCTTCCAAGAAGAGATCACCGTAGATGTAATAAAAGAAGGCAACAATCACCCCAAAGCTACCCAGACTTATCTGAAACAAAACATACTCAAACTTAGTAAATTAAATGATGGTCAACTTAGGATGAAAATGACAAACTAACCGCAACAAAAGTAAAGCCTTTCCAATTGGAAAATAGTTTTTTCACGCTGGCAACAAGTCCACCAGCGAAAGAGAACTGGCACAAATACAGGAATATAGAAGGTAAGTAGATTAGAGGATATATTTTCAGATGCACAGCCAATGCACCATGTGCAAAGGCAGCAGCAACCCACTGAAACAGTGGATCTTTTCACAAACCTTCTACACAGAGTACGTAAAGTACGAGTACAGAACGCATGTTAGACCTAATGCAAGATTTAAAATTCCACCGCAAACAAAACATTCGCATATACAGATAGACAATATTTGAATCTGACAAAATCGAGAACTTCCAAGTCATGCGTGGGTCACAGCATAATTTTTAAATAATTAAGGTAGAAATACTAACGACATGCCACCAACCTGGCCTTTCTTCAACAAATATAGGGTGTATAGCACTGCAGCACACACTAATACATCAGCATTTCCTCTGCAAAATCTCATTCCGGTAACTCAATTGAAGGCGAATGAAGAATATAACAATGTGCTTCAGACTGTTCTACCAATTTCACTTCAGAAGAAACAAAGGGACGATGACAATTTTTGAGTCCCCTTCAAGCCCGGTTTCCATAAAAGGGTTGTAAGAAAAAGGCAGGAGATGACCTAGTTAAAATACCTAGCTATTAAAAACAATTAAAGCAATAACACCGAAAATTTCATAGTTGACCAAAAAGGGACACATAGCAGAATCGTTCATAGCAGTTAGGTCAAATCCTTGTAAAATGGAAGAAAATGGAATAAAACATGAAAATTCACCCAGCTTACCTCGCAGATATGATCGCAGTTAGAGGATTTGCTAGCCAAAAAATGACAACATGGAGTAACGTAGGATCATTGGAGTGCACGACTTCTTCACTATTCCCACCACTAGCTGATGCCTGTGCGCTGAAAGATGATTGGGTGGTTAAAACAAGGAGATGAAAGACAAAACTAACTCTTCAGATACATTGCTTTTCTCGTTCCTTTTCGGTGGCATCATCGCGAAGTACATCCATCCGACAAGAATATCAAAAATGCAAAAAAGGAACTTGCCTGAAGATGAAACAGGATCAACATGATAAGGGAAGAGCTCTATTTGAAGGAGGCTAAGACATTTGCTCTTGCAGACATACTTACCGAAGTCCTTGTAGCTCACAACTGGCTGAAGAATCCACGCAAGTGCGGGAGTATACCTGAAAAAAA